TATGCACACGATATCCTATGAATATACATAACATGTATATTCGAACGAGACCGCTGCTTGTATATACGTAGAATATATATCATGTACATTCCGTGTACATACATCAAATGTATATACATACGATATATATTGATGTAGATACACTTATGGATATGCATACGATATCCCATGAATACACACACACACACACACACACACACACACACACACACATATACACACACATTTGATGTATCTACATCAGCATATATCGTATGTATATACATTTGATGTATGTATACGGAATGTACATGATATATATTCTATGTATATATAAGCAGCGATCTCGTTCGAATATACATGTTATGTATATTCATGCGATATCCTATCCTTATCCATAAATGTATCTACATCAGCGTATATCATATGTATACCATGAGTATATACATTTTATGTATGTACATAGAATGTACATGAGGTATATTCTATGTATATTCACGCTGTGATCTTATTTGAATGTACAAGTCATATCCAAACGATATTCTACGTATATCCCTAAAAATACGTAAATTTATGTATATTCTATGTATGTACATATCATGTACAGTACATTTTTTTCATATTATGGGTATTTTATGTATATACATAGGATATCCGATGTTTACTGGGGTCTCGGTGAGGAATTATTAATCTTAGTTCAATTATCGCTTCTTATTGATTGCTGAGCTAATGTTCAAAATTGATCCATTTCTTATTATTGATTCATTATTGATCACTCGTATTGTTATTTTATCTTTCTCGTGATAAACTTGTTATCTTTCTTTGTTCAAATCGCGTAATTTATTTAAGTGTTCGTCTCGCTTGGTTGTCGATTGTCGTCTTGTCTGTCGTCTGTTGGTTCCGTGAAGACTCGCGTAATCAATTAACTTTCTCTAACAACCCCTCCCCTCTACCGTTAGGCAAGCTAGTCGGCCCGTGGCGAAGCAGGCTATCGTTTTTAGCGTCTTTCGGCTTTTCACGAAATTGATGCGTGAAAGACCGCATCTGGCGCCCAACTTTTCGATATATCGATACAGCCTCAGCTCCGCCGCGACTCGCGCGAAAACGTCCTCCATCCCGGTTCTTCTGAGCGCGAGTACATTAATTTCGTTATTTTTTTGACGGTGTTTTCGCTCCCCCGCGCACGCTCCTATCCAACATCTCGAGGAGTGTCGCGATTCATTTGAATTGAATTAAATAAACGTCGCAATATATATATATATATATATATATATATATATATATATATATATATTTAATAAATACTCTGTGTACATTGATTTCTTATTAGGTCTTCTCTTACTTTTGTCTCTCTAATACTTTTATTTTTTTACAATACGATATTATATATAATCTGTTCTTTATTGCTGAACTGGTTGCACTAGTGTGCATTAGTTCAGAGTTTATTTTTCTCCTACCAATATAGAGGGAAAAAGATAAACTCTAAACTAGTACACACTAGTGCATCCAGTTCAGCAATAAAGAACAGACCGTATAATTATAAACAATACTAAATTTATTTTGCGATAATACATGTGATATGTAAAATATAAGCTACGTTTATTTTAATCAAAGATACGCATCGAGTCATGGCGCACATGATTTATTTGCAGAAACAACAGCTATTAATTGTTTCTGCTAATTGGTTTTGCATGTCTATTAATTATTTTTGTATCTGCCAATTCCGTTCTTATTATTTCATTTTCTGCATTTATATCAATTATATAATATGATAGAAATCCATGTGCATAGAATATATTTCAGTACAAGGAATACGTTATACATACAAATACCGATTCATTTCTTTGAGCACTGAGCTACGCCATATGAAAATGCCAAACAACACATATGTGATTTTTACATTTAAAGATACGCATCGAGTCATAGCGCACACTCGATGCGAATCTTTGAATATATGTATATCGATATAATATATATATATATTATAAATATTCTGTGTACATTGATTTCTTATTAGGTCTTCTCTTAGTTTTGTCTCTCTAATACTTTTATTTTTTTACAATACGATATTATATATAATCTGTTCTTTATTGCTGAACTGGTTGCACTAGTGTGCATTAGTTCAGAGTTTAGCTTTCTCCTATCAATATGGAGGGAAAAAGATCAATTCTGAACTAGTACACACTAGTGCATCCAGTTCAGCAATAAAGAACAGACCGTATAATTATAAATATACTAAATTTATTTTGCAATAATAAATGTGATATGTAAAATATAAGTTACGTTTATTTTAATAAGTATATGTGATATCTTATTATAATACATGTTATATGTAACATAAGCTACGTTTATTTTAATAAGTACACTCGACGTCAGGTATGCCTTAACACATGGATTTGTGCACATATCGGCACGTTTATATATTTTGCATATACATATATGAAAAATGCATGTGTGTTGATATAAATTCGTGTGTTAAAACATACCTGACGCCGATTGTACATGTGATATGTAATGATTATATGTAACATAAGTTACGTTTATACATATGTTTAAAAAAGATTACTTTCTAATATTTTTATTTTTTTACAATACGACATTATATATAATCTGTTCTTTATTGCTGAACTGGTTGCACTAGTGTGCATTAGTTCAGAGTTTATCTTTCTCCTATCAATATAGAGGGAAAAAGATAAACTCTGAACTAGTACACACTAGTGCAGCCAGTTCAGCAATAAAGAACAGACCGTATGATTATAAGCAATACTAAATTTATTTTGCAATAATACATGTGATATGTAAAATATAAGCTACGTTTATTTTAATGTGATATGTAAAATGTAAGCTACCTTTATTTTAATACATGTTATATGTAAATAACATAAGCTACGTTTATATGTTTAAAAAGGATTATAATATAATAATAAAGTATATTATAAATTAATATATAATTTATTTGAAATATATAACATGATATACATATAATAATTATAAGCAATACTACTTTATAAGCAATAATTCTTTTTCTACATTTTACTTTTACTCTCAATTCTAATTGTATTTAATTAATCTTGATAAGATTCTTTTCTTACAATCATTATATATCCAATGATAGTGTCCTGAAAGAAAATAGAAGACAGAATTATGTTAAATAAATTGTCTTTAAAGAATGTATTAATGTTGACAACTGCTTTTTCATTACTTTCAATACTTATGTGTGTGTATATATATTATTATTATATTACTGTATACTAACATCGCTGATATACTTCTCGCTGCATCTGGATCCAACATCAATTGCAATAATTATTTTCGAAATCAAACGTTAACCTCTTTATTGTGTCCTGATCAAAATAAAATAAAAGAAGACAGAATTATTAAATTTGTTAGACTATTTTTAAAGAGTATATTAATATTAACAATTACTTACTTGTATATACTAGTATCGCTGACATAATGTTTTGCTGTTGTATGTCTAGATCCAACATCAACTTTTCCAACTTAAAACAAGCTGGATATATATAAATTCGATTCTCCTTTCTCTTGTATAATTATACAGGGTGTCCTGGACCACCACTACACCCCTTTTCTTTCAAAAATTAAGTATTTTAGAGAAAAACGTTTTCGACAAAAATTGTATTGAAGGGTTTTGAAGGGAACATAAGATAGTGTCATTGGTTTGACCTTGGATGGCATCATTAAGGTCAGGTCAAGGACACCTTTAATTTCTTAAATGGAACTACCTATTTTTTATTGCATATTCTTATAGCTTATGTCGAGACCTTTTCAAAACATGATAATAAAATATTTTTTCATTGAGTATTTTTCGAGTTATGAGACTTGAAATAATTTTTCAATTTTACATACATGAAATATCTAGTAAACTATACATTTTTTTATTATCTTATCTTAATACCTTTATGTACAAAATAATGAGAGGTGTTCGCGAATGAAAGAGTTTGAGCGGAAAGCGCGTTCCGAAGAATTTTTCGACAGGACACCACACACTTGTATGCAACGATAAGACACGACACGTATATTTTTGTATTTTTTATGAAGTTTTATTTTAACGAAACACAATAAAATAAAGAAAGTTTTACACAAAATATACTTGGTTTCAGACACTGATGCGAAGCGAGAAAATCGAAAAGTCCGAGTGAGAAAGCGGTCGTGTATGAGAAGCGGTTGTACGAAGCGGTTTTACAGTGCAAGCGGTTTAGCGGAAAAGTGCGAGACTTTGACTGTGTGGGGTCCATGCGCTGGGCCCTTTATATAGCGGACTTGATTTTTGATCCCGTTATAGCGTGGACCAATTAATTTCGGAAATTGGCGGTGACCTCAGGGCGCCGCTCGTGATTGGCCGCCGATGAGGTCATGAATTAATTTTTTAACTATTGCCATGCGCACGATCCTTTTCGATCAGCTGATCGCCAATCAGCTGATCGAAAAGGATCGTGCGCATGGCAATAGTTAAAAAATTAATTCATGACCTCATCGGCGGCCAATCACGAGCGGCGCCCTGAGGTCACCGCCAATTTCCGAAATTAATTGGTCCACGCTATAACGGGATCAAAAATCAAGTCCGCTATATAAAGGGCCCAGCGCATGGACCCCACACAGTCAAAGTCTCGCACTTTTCCGCTAAACCGCTTGCACTGTAAAACCGCTTCGTACAACCGCTTCTCATACACGACCGCTTTCTCACTCGGACTTTCCGATTTTCTCGCTTCGCATCAGTGTCTGAAACCAAGTATATTTTGTGTAAAACTTTCTTTATTTTATTGTGTTTCGTTAAAATAAAACTTCATAAAAAATACAAAAATATACGTGTCGTGTCTTATCGTTGCATACAAGTGTGTGGTGTCCTGTCGAAAAATTCTTCGGAACGCGCTTTCCGCTCAAACTCTTTCATTCGCGAACATTTTCTGGTCCTTCGAGCCGGATCACCATCCGCATCCGCAGTTCGTGAGTGAAGTTCTCGTGACATCCAGTGCGCGAACCTGTGCAAAAAGACGATTACAATGAGTACCGATCTGAAGGCGTTGTTGGAAGCGCAGAACGACATCCACGGGCGAATGTCTCGCTCCGTGGACAATCTGCGCAAGATGGGCGTCTCGAGCATCACCGCCGAAGCAATCCAGGCTCGCCTCCGCATTCTTGAGACTTTGTGGACCCGATTCGAGACCCATCATGATCTCATCGTAGCGGCGCTGAAAGATAAATATCTTGAGAGTGAGTACGCCAAAGCTGATTTTATTGATATCGCGGAAACCACTTACGTGACGCAAAGAAGCATGCTGGTGGACTACGCAAATAAGCTCAAGGGTGAATCGTTCACCGCACCCAAGACCGAGACTCACCAAGAGCAGACGCTCAAAACTTCGCTGCCGCGAATTAAACTCCAGGCGTTCTCGGGCGCATACGGAGATTGGCCCGCGTTCCGCGACATTTTCCAGTCAATCATCGGGAGCAACTCGTCCATCTCCAACGTGGAAAAGCTTCATTATCTCCGTACGAGCTTGCAAGGTCCTGCGGAAAAATTGATTAGATCGTTGCCAATTGTCGGGGGCAACTACGAGCGAGCGTGGTCCATTTTGAGTGCTCATTACGAGAACAAGCGGGAGCTCATTCGCGCCAACTTCGCCGCGTACACCGCCGTGCCAAAAATGAAGGCCGCGACCGCTGACGAACTCAGCAGAATCTACAACGCCGCCACAACCGCCATCAATGCACAGGAGAGCATTGACAGGCCGATAGACACACATGGTATGGATCTGTTTAATTACCTCCTTGTGGAGAGGTTCGACCCGCAAACCAGGATGCAGTGGGAGTCTTCCATCCGCGATTCCGTCGACCCACCGACCAATGAAATCCTTATGGATTTCATCGCGAAGCAAGTCCTCACACTCAATGCCGTGCAGCCAGCTACCGTCGCAAAGTCTGGAGAGGCTTCTCGGTCCGCGAAGTCGCACTTCGTGAAGCGCGCGTCCGACTCCTCTACTTGCGCCGTCTGCAAGGAAAAACATTCAGTTATGCAGTGCGCGACGTTTAAAGCAAAGACCGCGCCAGAACGAAAGAACCTTGTAGAAGCGAACAAGCTTTGCTTTAATTGCCTCGGGAATCACTTCCTGGCAAAATGCCAGTCGGTCAAGACGTGCTTCTCCTGTAAAGCACGGCATCACACACTACTACACGACGCGTACGTCCAGTCCGACGGAGCGAATTCGTTGTCCGCCACACCCGTCGCGTCGGACCGCAAGGCGATCCTCCTCGCTACCGCTCGGGTCGCTATCAAGGACCACCTGGGGAGACCGCACGACGTCCGAGCGCTGATCGACCAAGGATCCGAGGTCTCTCTGGTCGCTGAGACTTTGGCCCAGCGGTTGCGTCTGCCGCGGAACCGCTCGTCTATGAGAATTGCCGGCATTGGAGGAGCATCCGGAGCAACCCGCGGACGGCTGTCGATGACGCTTTCCTCGGCGATCACTGGAGCAGCGCTCTCGGTTCAGGCGTATATCCTTCCGCGTCTCTCGGCATACCAGGGGCCCGTCGTGCGATCCAGCCTCACCTGGCCTCACATACGCGGTCTCCCCCTGGCCGACCCACAATATCTGGATCGAGATCCGATCGAGATTCTGCTCGGCGCAGATGCCTACTCCGCCATCCTCCAGGAAGGACTCCGCAAGGGAAGCCAGAATGAGCCCATCGCTCAGAAGACCTCTCTCGGGTGGATCCTATCGGGCGGTCACCGAGTCACCACCCAGGGAGGCCACGCCGCACATCAATGCACGGTAGACCGCCAGCTGACCGACCTGGTGCAGCTTTTCTGGGAGCAGGAAAAGGAGCCCGCTACTCCCGTCGCTCTCACCCCTGAAGAAAGGAGATGCGAGGACATCTTCGTCCGCGAGCACACACGCACCGACGCGGGCCGCTACGTCGTGAGGCTCCCCTTCTCCGGCGCTCCGCCTTTGCTCCTGGAAACCCGCCGGCCGGCCGAACGCCTGCTCCACGCCATGGAGCGTCGCTGCGACAAGGACGCTCGATTCAGCGGCCTCTACCACGACTTCATGCAGGAATACGACGACCTGCAACATATGGAGACGGTAAACACTTCATCCGAGGAAACGGACACGGCCAAGTGCTACTTACCGCATCACGGAGTGTTGCGTGAAACGAGCACCACCACCAAACTCAGGGTCGTATTCAACGGCTCCCAGCTCACAACCACCGGCACGTCGCTTAACGCCAATCTACTGACTGGCGCCAATCTCTTGCCAGCTCTTGCTGACGTGCTTCTACGCTGGCGCTGGCACCGCTACGTGTTTGTGGCGGACATTGAGAAAATGTACCGCCAAATCCTCATCCACCCGGACGACCGCGAGCACCAGCGTATACTTTGGCGGCACCGTGCCGCCGACGACATCCGCGAGTACCGCCTACGAACGGTCACGTATGGCTTGGCGTGCGCACCATTCCTCGCCATACGGACCCTGCACCAGCTCGCCGACGACGAAGGTCATCGATTTCCGCAAGGAGCTGTCGCGCTGCGCCGCGATACCTACGTGGACGACGTCGTGACTGGCGCGAGCACCCTCTCGGAGGCCACCGTGGTCCAACGGGAGCTCCGCAGCCTCTGCATGGCGGGCGGGTTTCCGCTTCGAAAATGGGCCGCCAACAGCCTCACCATCCTGGACGGAGTTCCACTCGAGCACCGGCTCACCCGCGCACCTCACTCGTGGTCGCACGAGAGTCACGCGACACTCGGACTTCACTGGCACCCGGCCAGTGATTACTTCACTTTCGCGGAACGAGCACGGCACTATAACGAACTCACGAAACGACTAGTCCTGTCCGAAACCGCTCGGATGTTTGACCCGCTGGGCTGGCTCACTCCGGTCACAATGCGGGCCAAAATCCTGATCCAGTCCGCCTGGCTCCGGAAACTCGACTGGGATACTCCTCTTCCAGCGGCGGACGCACTAGCTTGGAGGACTATGCTCTCGCAACTTCCGCGCCTCAATGAGATCAGGATATCTCGCTGGCTTGGCAGCGACGATCCTGAGTCACGCGTCGAACTTCACGGGTTCGCCGACGCATCAGAGCGAGGATACGCCGCCGTAGTGTACCTCCGCTCATCCACTGAAAGGGGCACTTCGCTTCACTTGTTGAGCGCAAAGGGCAAGGTCGCCCCCCTGAAGCCCGTATCGTTGCCGCGGCTCGAGCTGTGCGCGGCTGCCCTTCTGGCAAACCTCGTATTTCACACGCGCACTTTGTTGAGTTTGTCCTCAGCTCCAGTCTTCCTCTGGTCAGACTCCAAGGTCACACTACACTGGATCCACGGCCACGCGTCCCGCTGGAAGACCTACGTGGCCAACAGAGTGTCGCAAATCCAGGAGCGACTACCCGAGGCGCAATGGCGACACGTGCCGGGCAAGGACAACCCAGCTGACTGCGCCTCCCGAGGAGTCCTGCCCAGCGACCTGGTCGGTCATCGCCTGTGATGGACTGGACCATCCTGGCTCCAAGAGGACGAAGCAAGGTGGCCAAGTGACGACGGCGCCCTGCCGGATGCCGACTTGCCGGAGCAAAGAACCGTCGCCTCACTCGCGGCCGCCGTCGAGGTCATCTCCGAACCAGACTTCCTGCTACGCTTCTCATCACTGCACAGGCTCCTCAGGGTGACAGCGTGGTGCCTTCGATGGCGGAGACCAGGAATCCGGAGGACACGCGACAGCGCTCGCACCGCACTCTCGCTCGACCCTCACGAGATCGAGGACGCTCTTCTCCGCTGGGTTCGCGTCGCTCAGACACTGCACTTCCACAGCGAGCTCACAGCACTGGGCAAAGGTCGTGCCTTGCCACCACGAAGCCCGCTCACACGGCTAAATCCGTTCCTCGACGGCAGCGGCGTGATGCGGGTCGGAGGGCGTCTCAAACACGCCATCCTGTCCCACGACGAGCGGCATCCCATCGTCATACCGCCGGGATCCAATCTGACCCGCCTGCTGGTGGATTCTTGCCACCGACGGAGCCTACATGGTGGAGTGCAGCTAACTCTTGGATTACTTCGCCAACGCGTGTGGATCCCACGAGGTCGAGCCGTCGTTAAACGGGCAATCCACCGATGCGTTGTCTGCACGCGATGGAGAGCCGTCGCACCACAACCTCTGATGGGCAACCTTCCGCGAGCACGGGTGACACCTGCACGCCCGTTTCTACGCACCGGGGTCGACTACGCCGGCCCGATCCTCATCCGGACCAGCAGGGGCCGAGGCCACCGGGCAAGCAAGGGCTTCATCTCAGTTTTTGTCTGCCTCAGCACCAAAGCAGTTCACCTGGAGGCGGTCACCGATTATACGGCCGAGGCGTTCCTGGCCGCCTTCCGCCGCTTCGTCTCCCGGCGAGGCCTCTGCACTGAAGTCTTCTCCGATTGCGGTACGAACTTCGTCGGAGCGGACCGGGAACTGAGGGAGATGTTTCGCGCCTCATCCTCCGACGGCCGTCGGATAGCTCACGTAACAGCCTCCGACGGCGTGAGGTGGAGGTTCAACCCCCCGGCAGCACCACACTTCGGCGGGCTTTGGGAGGCGGCCGTCAAGTCCACGAAGCATCATCTCCGCAGAGTCATCGGCGACGCCACCCTCACCTATGAAGAAATGGCGACCCTTCTCTCAGAGGTGGAGGCGTGCCTCAATTCACGCCCTTTGCAGCCGCTGACAGACGACCCCGACGACTTGACGGCACTCACCCCGGGGCACTTCTTGATCGGCGCTCCCCTCTTGGCCGTTCCAGGGCCGTCGCTCACCGCCGAGAAGGACACCGTGCTGTCTCGATGGCAACTTCTGCAAAAGATGCGCGACCACTTCTGGGAACGTTGGACGCGCGAGTATCTCAACGCCTTGGCGACACTCCCAAAGTGGCTTAAAAACGAGACCGGCCCCAGCGTCGGCGACTTGTGCCTGCTCCGATCCGAGACCACCCCCCCGACCAGGTGGCCACTTGCCCGCATCACGGCACTGCATCCCGGAGACGACGGGATCACCCGCGTAGTCACCATTCGCACGGCATCTTCGGAACTGACCCGGCCACTCGCGAAGATCATCCTTCTGCCAGGAACCGACACCAAGACATCCTCATCGCACTCGGATTCGTGAGCCCGCACGTTGTCACACCTCATTTGCGTGTTATTCGCACGCGGCGAATTTCCGAAAATTGCGCCGCGCTGAGTCACATTCACACACTCGTACCCGAGTTCGATCCTTAAACCGCGATATCATTTTCGTTCTCTTCTCATGCTCACTCATCACTGCACTACACATCACAACACTTAACAATCACTGCACTCGCGAAAACTGCACTGTATCATTCTGTTCATTTCATCACCAAACACCGCATTACTCACTCTCGCGAAAAGCTCAATCAAACTAATCAACACGTGTCTTCAAATGACGTCACGCATTCCAGTCATATATCACGATCAATGGCTCATCAATAGAACGGTACGCGACACCTGTCCGCATCCGCGCACACTTACAACTTTCGTCATATAATGACGAGGCGGGCGGGATGTTCGAAATTCATAAATTATCACCGATATGAAAATTCGAGTAAAGTAAAATCAGCATTTTTCTTATTATAAAACCCGAAAATTCAAAAGTAACGGGCGTCGAGAAACTTCTCGAAAACTTTATTTTCAACAAAAACTCGATCGTTCGAGTTCTCGCCTGTTTTTTCAGCGCATAAAAAACGCGTATCATAAACGATTAACAATAACATTGTCAACCGTCACTGGAATCTAAGCGACAGACGGGCATGCGCGCCTATACGCCGCGATCAGCTGATCGCCAATCAGCTGATCGAAAAGGATCGTGCGCATGGCAATAGTTAAAAAATTAATTCATGACCTCATCGGCGGCCAATCACGAGCGGCGCCCTGAGGTCACCGCCAATTTCCGAAATTAATTGGTCCACGCTATAACGGGATCAAAAATCAAGTCCGCTATATAAAGGGCCCAGCGCATGGACCCCACACAGTCAAAGTCTCGCACTTTTCCGCTAAACCGCTTGCACTGTAAAACCGCTTCGTACAACCGCTTCTCATACACGACCGCTTTCTCACTCGGACTTTTCGATTTTCTCGCTTCGCATCAGTGTCTGAAACCAAGTATATTTTGTGTAAAACTTTCTTTATTTTATTGTGTTTCGTTAAAATAAAACTTCATAAAAAATACAAAAATATACGTGTCGTGTCTTATCGTTGCATACAAGTGTGTGGTGTCCTGTCGAAAAATTCTTCGGAACGCGCTTTCCGCTCAAACTCTTTCATTCGCGAACATTTTCTGTAGTAGTAAAGTAAACACACAGTTGTTTTTAAGAAAAAATATGTAATTGTTAATTGCAAATTACATATTTTTTCTTCGAAACAATTATGTGTTTTTTTACACCAATTGATTCCTCTCATTATTTTGTACATAAAAGTATTAAGATAAGATATCGAAAAATACATATTTTACTAAATATTTTATAGTTTATGTAAAATTAAAATATTATTTTAAGCCTCATAAATCAAGTCGAAAACAATGAAAAAATACTTTATTATAGTATTTTGGAAACCTCTCGACATAAGCTGTAAGAATATGCAATAAAAAATAGGTGGTTCCATTTAAGAAATTAAAGATGTCCTTGACCTGATCTTAATGATGCCATCCAAGATCAAACCAATGACACCATCTTATGTTCCCCTCAAAACCATACAATTTTTATCGAAAACGTTTTTCTCTAAAATGCTTAGTTTTTAAAAGAAAAGAGGTGTACGGGTGGTCTGTATACAGGGTGTCTCATTTTAATCGATGGATCCAAATTTCTCCTAAACTATGCCAGCTACAAAAAAATGTTTCAGACAAAAGTTATATGGCTTGAAGAGGGACATAAGGCGGTGTCATTGGTTTGACATTGAAGAATCATCTAATGGTTACGTGAGGATCACATCCAACTTTTTAAATGGGACACCCTATATGTTTTTACATATTCTTATAGTTCATCTCGAGAGCTTTCCAAAACACTATAATTAAGTAAGTTTTCATTAAGTAGTTTTCGAGTTATGAGGCTTGAAATCATTTCTTAATTTTACATAAATCGTAAAATATCTAGTAAAATATTCATTTTCTGTTTAAATTATCTTAATACTTTTGTGTACAAAATAATAAGAGGAATCAATTGGTGTAAAGAAAACATAATTGTTCCGAGGAAAAAAATATGTAATTTGCAATTAACAATTCCATATTTTTTCTTAAACAACTGTATGTTTTCTTTACACCATTTGATTCTTCTTATTATTTTGTACGTAAAAGTATTAAGATAAAAGTATTAAGTATAAAAGTATTAAGATAAGATAATCGAAAAATGAATATTTTACTAGATATTTTACGACCTATGTAAAATTAAGAAATGATTTCAAGTCTCATAACTCGAAAACTACTTAATGAAAACCAACTTAATTATAGTATTTCGGAAAGTTCTCGAGATGAACTAAAAAAATATGCAAAAGCATATAGGATGTCCCATTTAAAAAGTTGGATGTGATCTTCACGTAACCTTCAGGTGACTTTTTAATGTCAAACCAATGACAGCACCTTATATTCCCCTTCAAGTCATACAATATTTGTCTGAAACATTTTTTTGTAGCTGGCGTAGTTTAGGAGAAATTTGGATCCATCGATTAAAATGGGACACCCTGTATAGTCTTAACATCACGGAGCGCCGCTAGCGCAATCTTACGTCGAATGCGTCAACCGTACAACTTTGTACGCTTGCGCATTGGGGACTTGAGCGTTGACCAAGACGACGTATCTTAATGAGAATTTTTCATATTTCGACTTTACATCATAATATTGCTGTTCACGATGCACGTAGAGCAAAAATAAAGGCACTTTTCTTATATAAATCAAACTTAAGCTATCAATTAAGCCTAGCAAGAACTCCATCCGTTCAGCGATTATTTCAATATGATAATCTCGAACATCTCAAACTATCTGACTCGCGTAATAATACACGGAGTGTCTTGTTGCTTACGCGGGACTTAGCACAAGACACTACCGTGTCTCTTGATCAAAATAATGTTAAATATTAATTGATTTTCTATGGCATTAGTTAAAGATTCCTACAGTTACATATCCTTATTAAAAAGAACTTATTTGATAAATACTACTACGAAAATACACCTATTCTGATAATAATAATTTTTAATAGTAATAACAATAATTAATAATAAATAATAATTATTTATTATTAATAATTAATAATCAATTATATTGTAATAATTTTTATATAGTTTATATGTATATATTTCCTAAATTTATACCTCTTACAAACTTTTTTCCATTTTTTTCTATGCATACAACTAATATTTAGTAATGATACCATTTGTTCCTTTAATTTCATATTATTCTTTTAAACTTTATATATATATATATATATATATATATATATATATTGTGACGTGACGCTTTTGAGCTCCGTCACCGTGCCTCCGCCGAGGGAAAAAGCGTGCGCGGGGTCGTCCCTCGCGCCTGAGAGGGAACCAAGATTAATTATAATTTGATCATTTAGATTTATTTTAGCTTGAATGTAAAATCCGTGAATAGAGTGCGGCTACTGTGCGTGCGTGCGATACCGCCATTTGTAAATGAAGACACAGCGGAGATACCTAGAGGAGAGGGAGCCGTATAGGAAGATACCGTAGGAAAACGAAAGGTGATGTAATGAGATCCCGCGCCGTAGCTATTCTTAATTCTGCAAAACATTAAAACCGAATAATTTCAGATTAAAAGACGGCAGAAAATCCGGACGACGGAACTGAAAACAACCTCCCAGGCGGCCGACTGAGAAATGAAGAGGATTCCGAAAAAGACGAGGATACGGCCTGGCCAGCCGGTCCCGTCTACAAGGATCAGAACTACCGTCAGATACCGTCGCACGTGGATCCTGGGCCCCTGCGCAAGGGCAATGCCGTCCTACAGCTGTGACTCTGAAGGAGGCGGAGAATCAACTCCCTGTTTCTCCGAAAATTGATGGAATGCGCGGAAGATCGGCGCGGGATCCGAGGGCCTTGCGGACGCAGTTAATATTCTTCACTATTCTTCTTCGGTGAGCCTCGAGCAAGTTCAGTTGCCGCAAGTTCGTAGTCGCGAGCCCAGAGGAGACGACCCTCCAAGGAAGCCGTCACTTCGAAAATGTAAGCCGCCGCCCAGGCAGTCGCTCGATTTTCTCCCGGGAACAGCTGGCGTCAATTCCGCGTACCGGTCTTCTCGCACTATCGTCGAAGAAAGCCTGTGTGCTTATCTCGCGTTAGTTACCGGACACCAGCTGACACCGGGGGTCGCGGATTTGTCCCTCTCAGGGGGGTTCGTACCGACAGTCACGTGCAGTACAGTAAAATTCCGTACCGTTTCGTATCGTCAAATATTGTATCGTGCCGTTTTAATATCGTTTATGTTACCGTTACGTTTCGTGCCAAAATTTAAATTTTTTTTTCCTAGCGTGACGTGGCAATTTTGGCCGTTTCGTATCACGTACCGAAAAGCGGGATTTACGCGGAAAATTTCTTCGCGAGCACGGGTTACCGTAAATGAGAAAAACGGCTCCGCAAGAATATTATTCAACGCGAAATCTCCGCCGAAACATATTACTGTTATCGCTCCTTTGAAGATTCTATTGTTTGAACATCGAGTCGTTATTGCCGAGTATAAAAGGTCGCGATAAGACCATTAAATAGGGTAAACAGTTTCCGCAAAAACACCCTTGAAGCTACCGTTAAGCGAAGCCTTTGTTTTCTGCCAAATATATATTGTGTAATATCATCGCCGATTAAGGGTAAAGGAGGTTCGATTCGACTTATACCAAAATGATGCAAAATACGTATACCGTCAAATCTATACTAAAATTATATTCATTTGTTGTCTATCAGTCGGCATCGACCGTTATTAATTATCTGCAGTAGAAGTTACCGTCAAATATTATATAAAATCTAATTCGATTTATATCGAAATTTTTGGAGAGACGTGTGCAGTTGAATCTATACGGAAAGTATATTCAGTTATTATTTTCTGCTCGTTATCCGTTACTTTCGAATATCTGTATCATAAATTACCGTCAA